AAAAAAAAAAAAAAAAAAAAAAAAAATATATATATATATATTTGCTCTGAAGTTAAAGCATCGATAGCAAGATACACAAAGCCTTCTTGCTGCGTAACACACGAACTGAACTCACGAATTGAACTAACGTGTCGCCTTTACCAGTACTTTTTACCAGTACTTAGAAAGCATCCAGATGGCCAGGGGACACAGGTGGGAAACAAAGCATGTGTCTCACAATAAAAGCTGGAATAAAAACCCTGAGGTGTCTGTGTGCCACTGAGCGGGAGCGGGTCCCTGGCAGGAGCCTTCAGCTGCCTGCCCAGAACACAGTCCCTCCTCTCCTTCCAGAACCCACTCTGTCCTGGGCAGCATGTGTCTGGGTAGACTCTGAGCTAGAGATGCCAAGAAGAGGTGCTGGTGGCCCAGGAAGTGAGCAGAATCTACTAGAAGGGCCTCAGGAAGCCAAAGCCATAAGAGGAGCCACACTCAGCCTTCTGTCTCCACCTTGTGCCCTGGGTCCCACCCAGTCGGGACACTTGAGGACACGTGGACAGGGTGACCACAGGGCCACCCTCTGCAGAAGCAGGACAGAGCCCCACGGTTGGGACATGGTAGGGGGCTGTCAGCTGCCTCTGCTCATGTGTCTAGTTTCTGCCTGGCTTCTTGTTAACAAAAAAATCCCTCTGTGTGCCAGGGCCACAGCGAGTCGGTTTCTACTTTCTATTTCTTACGAGTGAAGAATGTCTAACAATTTCCAGGATTTCCTAACAATTCTGAGGGGTCAGAAGGAAATACCCCTTTTCTGTCTTTTAGGAAGCTTCCTTCTGCAGGTGGCTAAGACCTTGGATTTGGGGCCTGAGACATATTTCTCAAGGTTTGAGATTCAGTGTTCTATGTTTTTATACTCTTTTGAGAAGAAAATTCAGAATCACTTGATGCAAAAACAGTTCCAGCAACCATAGGTGAGTCCATCATGCCCTTTGCTGGGTCCCTGTTTCTGTCAGGCATGCCACATGTGTGATCTCCTGTTCTACTTACCATGACACTGAGAGGGAGGCATTAAATACCTCTTCATGAATTGGAGGCTGGAAATAGGAACCTGAGGCTGGTAGACTGAGCCACAGCTACAGCTTCCCTTGTGTCTTCCAGTGACCCGAGCTCCTGCTACTTGGCGTGTGTGCCCCCACGTACCTGTCACCCAGCTTTCAGCTCTGTCCCTGGGAGGTTTTGTAGATTCTCTGTGCAGGGTGGAACCTGAGTGGTGAAACACCCTGCCATGGCCTCGGTACTGCTCCTCCCTGCCTCGGGACTTGCTCTGAGCCCTGTGGTGGGCTTTGACCAGCAGATATCAGCAGATAGTCCACAAGCTGAGGCTTGATATGTGCTTGTGTCAGTCACAGCTGTGCAGACATGTGCCTGGTGACCCGCGAATTCCAGGAGAGCCTGCCACAGACTTGAGGCTTTACAGAGTGCAGAGCAGAGTCCAGCGGGGCCCAGACTGGTCTGATCGCCCACAGCCAGCACACAGGGATAAGGACAGAAATAAACAAGTGCTGCTTATGCCACTGAGTGTTGGGAAAAGATGGCCAGTGTGCTCTTTAGGACGAAGATGTGCAAAAATGGCTAAGAATCTATCAGAAATGCTTGCCAAATATTGGTCTATGTAGTAATGTGTGGTATTAGGGAGGAAACTATCCCCCCCCGTCTTCATCACCACCAACCACCATCATCACCATGAACATTATCACCATCAGCAGCATAATTGTCATTACCACCATTGTCACCACTGTCACCATCACCATCACCACAATCACCACCATCATCGTTACCATAATCACCGCTGTTACTGTCATCTCCATCGACCTCGCCATCACTAGCATTAGTAACATCATCACTAATGTTACAAATTAGCATCACTCACATCATCCTCACACCATCATCATCTGCATCACCCCCATCATCACCATCACAGGACCTGAGTTTAGCTTTGTATACATTCCAGGCTACCTTTCTGGAGTAACTCTGTTGTTTGCATAATTCCATTGTCCAATTGACAGTTTATGATCATGTTAGTCATTTCTGTTCATCAGTTCCAAAAAAGCAGAAACCTTTTATCTTGGTAATTTAAAAAAAAAACTTTTCTGGGTGTGGCATTCACAGGCATGATTTATGAGTTGGTCAATAAGCTTCTAAAATAAATCTCCAGCTGGGAGAGTTGTGACAAGGATGCAGGAGAGCTTTTCCAAACATGAGGAGGGTGGGAAGGGCTTGGGCGGGAGGCAGTTTTCACTAAAACCAGTCACACTGCATAGGTAGGGAAAACAGATTTCTGTTTCAGATTTACAGTTGTAATACTCTGCAATGAGAACCATCTGTGTTGGCTCGCGGCCGTCCACTGCCCCCCACCCCGCCCCTATTGCCCGCCTGTCCCCGCCTCTGTCCAGGCTTCTCCTTGGACACTACACCACCCCTGTCTGCTCCAGAACCCAGATCAAGCCCACCTCCTCTTGTGGCATCCTGATCACTGTCTTCCTGCTGACTCCCTTAACGGTATTGTCCTCCCTGGTCATCACCAGTGCCAAGACCGAGTTTTAAAAGATCACTCTTTTCTGAGTAGAGAGAAAATTGTGGGTGTGGATGGATTTACCAGGAGGAAGTAGAGACTTCCAGAGGAAGCACGTGTGCCAGAAGCTTCCACAACCATAACAACCCGCGTGAAACCCAAAGAGAGCTTGACCTGGGAAGGGTCACTGGGCGTGGAGGGGGCAGATGGGGCCTGCTCAGGCTTCTTGTGTGGCTTGGTGAACAGCACTAGCCAGAATCAAAAACGAAGGCATTCTCGTTCCTCGGAAGTCCCTGTAGCATCTGGGACTAGGAGGAGGACTCACAGTGCTGAGTCAGCATACCCAGCCGATGGGGCACACACATATACAGATGCACACCCGGGGGGCCGTGATCTGCGCACTTGCATCTAGTCACTTGGAATCATCACCCGGGAGGTGTGGACGTGCCACCACCATTCCCACTTCACAGAGGAGGACATCGAAGAACAGGAAGATAAAGTGGCACGCCCAGAGTTACATGCCTTGGAGGGGCAGAGCCAGGACCCCGCTCCACCCAGACCAGCCCTCAGCAATCCTCCCTAACGTGGGCATCTCAAAGGGTCAGCAAATTAAAACTCTGTATGTGGTTGGAAGAAAAGACTAACACGGTGTCAATAAGCATATTTTATTTTAATCTAAGAAAAAATGATTAAATTCAAAAGTCAGATATATGAAAGAGCATTCAGAGAGTTTAGGGTCATAACAGCTTCCTCAGCACAGCTGGCATGCCCGGAGTGGTCTGGGACTCCAGCAGTCTGCCCCTTGCACAGAATAAACACGTGAGACGCTGCCTATGTATCCCCAAGCACATCCACAGATATCCATTTTGCACCATGTTTGGGGAATTTGGGACCACGAAGGTTCTTGTTAATGAAACATCTGAGCCGAGAGCATCACCCCTGCAGGACCCAGCTTAGGCACCATCCTCTGAATGGCTCCTTGGTGACAGGGGCATGCTGACCTCTGTGCCCAGGTCAGCGAGTGGCAGTGCGATGGTCACTGGGGCCCTGTTGCCACTCACCACGTGGGCGTCCCGCTCCTATGCTTCTCCCCAAGTGCGGATTTCCGCTTTCTTGACAAGTTCTTCTACCTTTGAGGCCTTCAGAAAAGAAGAGAGGAGCCAACGAACCAGTGGGCCAGTCCCTTGGCGGTCAATACCAACTCCAGGGCACAAGCTATCCAGGCTGTGTCTTCTCTAAGGAGATTGTTCATAATCTGTTCAGGTGACAACTCAGCCTTCCAGTGGGCCCTGGGGTGAGCCACAGGAGTTGGGTCATGGCCATATTAGGAGAGAAACCAGGCAGACCAGCGTGCATAGCCGGCTGGGTCACACCATGCCTGGTTGACTTTTCAAAGGATGGGCCCCTCCAGGCGGCCTCCTACCAGCAGGAGCAATTCTCTCAAATTTAATCCCAGCCCAAGGCAAAACCCAAACAGAAGCTTGAATGGGAAAAGCAAAGTTAGCTTGAACCAAATTATCACACCAAAAGTAATCGGAAACACCCTTTCCTACCAGGGAGCTGCCTGTACTTAACCCAACTGTTGAATGGCTGTTTGGTGCATTGTGTGAGTGGGGTATCTGGCAAGTAGAGCATAACAAACCAACTCAAAACCCCAATGAACAAACCAAGTAATGTGTGTAAGCCACATGGCAGCATGTCACCCACTTCCATGGAAACATGATGCTTCCAGCATGGTTCAACAACATGGTGAGCTGGACTCAGCAGCCTGGGCTAGGGGAAGGGCAGGGCTGTGGCCCAAGTGCCTTACACTAAGACTTCTACTGTGAGCTTGTGCAGGATGAAAGGACTAAACTCAAAAGCGTTGAGAATACATCTCCACCAAGTACATTGAAGGTCGGAGGACACATACATTGTATGTGATTAACGTTCTGAAGCCAGCTTTCCATTTCACAGATTCGGACAGTCTGTTTAAATATCCCATTTCTACAAAGTGAATTTACATTTAAAGTACAAAGTGCAAATACTATGTGTTTTTGTTTTTGTTTTTTTAATAGCTCTTTGGTGAGGGAGCTTCCCACCTGTCTAGGAACTGCCTCGGACTTGTGAGCCATTCACCCTTGTTTCCTTGGCTGAAAAAAAAGACAAAAAAGAGACATCATTAGGAAGTGTGCATCACTGGTCAGTAAAGACTAAGGCTTGCCTTCTGGGAATGAACTGAAACAACATGGGAAAAGCACTAATTTAAAGTAGATGTGAAAGGCAGGACTGGGCTGGCCATCACAAGGTTCTCGCAAGGATTAATGAAAAGCAAGGACGACATTTCTGACATGGTAACTTCTTAACATTTTTCTGCCTCGACATGATCATAAATATCAAGAAAAAGATATCAGTTGAGAAAATGAGTATTTATTTAAAATATTCTAAGTAGTACAAATGCATTAGACGCTTTACAGACTCTCCTATTACCTTGGATTTATTACACAAAAATAATTTGAATAATCTAATTTGTGCTTCAAATCTGATGAAGGCAGAGCTGATTTTTATATTCTGTGTGTCATCTTTTTCACTCACTGTTTTACCTCTTCAGTGTAACTTGAAAAGTTCATTTAGTATATTGTTATAGTGCTATCACTAGGCACCTGGACTCTTAACTAAAAGCAATTTAGAATGAAAAAATAGCAATCTACAAACTTACATTTCCCAAACCCATCAATTCCTACAAATATAAGTCAAACCACGCTTGTGTTTTATTACTTAAAATAATGCAGCATGAAAGTTTAGGAGTTTTGTGGGTTGGCTTTTATTCTCTTGATACAGATCTGGAAACTTGGTGAGGAGTGACCACACACGCTTGCACGGAGCTCATGGAGCTTTGTTTAAGTTAGATACTCAGGCAGGCAGCTCAAAAAAGCCTTTTGCCGTTGCTAGAGACAGGTTGGAGGAGATGGACCCACACTTTAACTTGCTCAATCTCAGCTGGACTGTGCAGCTCCCATCACTCTGAGTGGTGGCACACACTGGGCAGACCCGGGGACAGCTCGCCTCTTGCCAAGACACCACCTCTTCGCATCTTCCTACTCCCTGCATGGAATGGTGGTGGCTCTGTACTAATTTCATCCTTGCAGTGAAAGCCTTTGGTGTTTGGTATTATTTTATTATTTAAAGAAATATTTATGGTCATCCATTACTATAGCACATGCACGTTGCAGTTGGTTCCCCTATTGGGACTGAATGCCAGGTTCCAGGTTAGCAGTAACCGCCTTGGAAATAACTGCATGGAAGTCAGTACATTCATTTAGGCACTAGAAAAAGGGCAGGGGACATGGCTCTCGCTCCTTTTTCTGGGAACAAGCTGGAGAGTGAGGCTTGTGCATTGAGGCGAGTTTGTTTAAGACCGAGTGGTGCACACGTGTGCCATAATTGCCATTATCGAAGGAAAACAACACTTTGGAGGTCTTTGGAGCACTGGGAGGGTAATTGCTTTCAGACCAGCCCTGTTTTAAAGTGTAAGTGATTTGCGGTGGGATTAAAAAGTTAAAACCATAAACATTTGCTAAACAAAGGAAAACGTATCACACATCTTTCCTAATGAAATGGTTTTAAATTACATCCAAGGTGTGTGCTGGAGGTCTCCACTTAAAACCCACAACAAATGCCAGGGTTTGCCTTAGGGAGCGTCAACCTGACATCAAACAGGTGCAGACAAATAAATAACAAATTGACGGGTGGTGGTAAGGAAAGGAGGATTTTGCCCTGGCTTTGAGGGAGGGAGCCATGAATCTGTGTGTTTATATTCTGGAAAACGTCCTCTCCTTTGGATAGGCTGTGGCCGGGTGCTGGGGACACCACAACTGCCTCCTCTAATTGCATAGAGAGATGCAGAAACACAGACGGATGTTCAGGAACACACACAGCAGGCAGCTGGAACCCCTCTGGAGCCCAGCACTTGTCTCATTAGGACGCAGATGAGAAGGACCCACGTGTGGGCCCCACTGTCTCCTGTTCCACAGCCTCCTCCACAAAATGGAAGAAATCTACGACAAACACCAAGTCACCCAAAACACGACTATTTCCATAAAGCAAATAACTCAGAATGCTTTCTAAAAATAACAGAATAATTGAAATTTTAAATAATAAAAAATGAGGGCAAAAGTCTTTAATGAATCCATGAGCTGATGCTTTCAGATAGCATTTCCCACAGCTGTTTTAGTCCCCAAGGGGTTTATGTGTTACAGGTTGCCTCTCCCAGGTCTTGGATGATGGGATTCATTGGAAATCTGCAGAAACTCTGAAGGTTTATTGTCTCTAATTAAGCCAGCAAATTGTCAAGGCTAAAATATAGACACACTCACCTGTCTATTAGAAGTGCTTTCAGCATTACCTCTAGCAGCTAGCAGAAAACAAAGAAAGAAAGATGTTAAAATCCAAATACGTGTTATTTAATGAAAGATTCAATACAATTTCAGGAAGGAGTCCAAATCACTTTAGCAAGGTGTTATCAACTGGCAAACTTAGTTACATGAGAAAAAAATACACCATCTTCTCTCAATTCCCAGTAGGGGCTGATTCCAGGCCCTCAGCCCACCAAAGACTCTCGCATATGCAAGTCCCAGATATAACATGGGCTGGTGTTTGCACACAACCTGCACACGCCCCTCTGTGTGCTCTAAGTCATTCTAGATTACTCATGACACCTGACACAGTGTAAGTGCCATGTAAGTAGCAGCTATATTTTCTTGTTTTTTATTTGTCTTTTTTTACTGTTGTTTTTTTTCTGAATATTTTTGATCCGAGGTTGGAAGGCCAACTATCCATACACTGAGCATAGATTATGAGTCGTGGATTCTAAAAGTGACTATGCAAATATTTTCTAGCAACACATTGCTCTGGTCCAGGGTTAGAAGAATGTTTCCCTCTGCCCTAAACGTTTAAACCTCATGAACTATGAGGACTTTCTTAAAGGTATTGACCAAACTGTCCCCAAGGACAGTGGACTCATCCTCCTGGGATTCTAGGAATAAAATCTTTAGCAAGGCACCAACCCGCTTTCTTTAAAGTCTTTAGACTTTACATTAAAATTTTAAAATGAGAGTGTTTGGCTCGAAACAAATTTTTCCAAATCTGCAAGTCAAGTTACAGTCCGAGTGAGTCGCACTATTTGTGACCCTTCCCCACCAGGTGCAGTATGGAGCGTCCAGAACAGGCCATCCTTCTCTCAAACCCACCCTCCACTCTGAGGTGTCTGCATGGACACCTCGGGGAAGGGGTTCAGCCTTGCCTTCCAGCCTCCTCACTCTTCCTTCCCCACTGGCTCCAGAATGCCTCTCCCCACACACCTGGCCTCCCCTTTGCCATATTTGTAAACACCCCTGCCTCCCTGCCACAGTGCAGACTGTCATAGGGTTTCACGCCTCACCTTTCCTGTTCACACCCTTCACTGCTGTGCAGTCAAACTCATGGTTTCAAGTAATATTCACTATCACTTGCTGGTGGCTCCCACATGCACATGTCGCCAGACTCTTCAGTGTTGACCTCCTCCTCCCTCTAGACTCACAGGCCCAACTTCATGACCCCACAGGGATTTGAACAGACAACTCACAGCAAATCGGGCTAGACACGTCTTCCCTCTAGACCTTTCTTTTTGTGGTCTCCACTGTCAGTTAGAGCATCACCCTGAAGTTGCTCAGAGAAAACCATGCAGTCACCATCACTCCTTCCTTCCGATGGCTCCACCTCATCTACTAGCAGACTCTTCTGGTGCTGCCTTCAGAACCTGTCCAGAGCCCACACACCCCAGGACCCACAGCTCAGCCCTGACCAGACCATCTACTCCCCCAGGGACCTGAGAAAACCCCTCACTGCTCTCCTCGCTTCCCATCTGTCATCTATATCACAGGGTCCCATAACATAGAGATGTGTCATTCCTGCTTAAATCTTCAGATGGGCTCCTGTCCAGAACACAGACCAGCATCTCCTGGACAACATGGGCAAGGGGCCCTTGGTATGCCTGCTCACTGCATCTGCTCTGCTCTCTCAGGACACCCGCCCCGCTCCACCCCACCCTGCCCCACCCATGGGCCTGACCTCTCCTCTCCCAGATATCACTGCAGGGTGCCTGCTTCCCCCTTTCCCCCCAGGGCCTAGCCTCTCTCCTCCTGAAGCTCAGTGGGTGTGGGTGGCTCGGCATGCCTGCCCCCTACATCTGCTGTCCTCTCTTAGGATGCAAGGATGTGCCCATCCTGCTGTCCTGTAGGCTACGTGCCCCAACACCCCCTGGTTCTCTTCCATTCCTTCAAGTCTGGACTCCTCTCCCTTGAGAAGAGGCCTCCCTGCCTCCATTCAAAGTCTGGTCCTCCCACTCTGCCTCCCACTTCCTCAGCAAGCTCCCTTGATCAGGGGCCTGTCCTCCCGTCTGATGACTCATGTCTATGCTAAGGTGTCAGGCCTAATCTAAAGGACACACCTTTGTGTCTGCTTTGTTTACTGTTATTTTGTCAGTGTCTAGAAAGGGAAGCACTCCATCAAAAGGTTTCAAATGAGTCAACAGAGGGGGCAGCTCTCCTCACCTGTACTCCTGGGTGAATGGGGGTTCTGTCTGCTCATTATGTAAATGCTGAGTAAGGAGCACATTTGTTCTACTTTTGAACTCTTCTCTTGTCATATGAAGGCAAACAGTAGCATGACGAAAAAGGAGAAGCATGAATGTATTGAGAGAATTGCAAAATATTAGACAGTAGCTCAATCTATTATTATTATTTCAACTGTATGTTTTAATGGTTAAGTATCAGGATGAGAGCTGCTGCCTATCCACTCTGTTCTGCCTGGCATGACTACTTTAGAGAAAAAAACAGGATTTGGGTTCAGTGGTTCAGATTCAGAGACTATGAGATGCAGCTCTGAGTCTATCCTGAGACAGGCTGGCTCTTCACCAACTGCCAGTTTTTGTTGGATTGTTTGTGATTGATATCATGCACCCTGGTAACAGTGTAGCTGTATATTAGATACAAGTTACAGTAAGGAAAACCTCATGTTCTTAAGTGTAAGGAAAATAAACCCTTGCCTTCTAGGTGAAAATAATCTAAGTTACATTAGTGACACCTGGCAGACAGTCCCATTCAAGAAACAGGAGGGAAAAGGCACTATTTAAACTGCATGAAAGGCAAGAAAAGATTACTCATTAATTTTAATAGAACAGAACATAACTTATCAAAATAAATATGCAGCAACACCACATCAGTAAGAATACATTCCAGTGAGGCTGCAGGGAGAAAAAGGGGGACAATATTCCCCCAGCCCTCGCATGTGAAGGAGCCGGGGGAGCTGACATCATCGGTGTCAGATGATGCTGATTGCTTCCAGGTGGCCTGCAGGGGACAACCTGGCTGTGAGGCAGCACGCCTGACAGAAATGCAGCCAGCATGACATTGGGTGGAAAAGATAACTTTGTCAAAAATGAATATTTCCCGATTGTCGAGGGCCTGGGGAATGGTCATTTTGGAGAATTATAAGGGCACGTTGCAATCTTTTGTAATTTTTTTCTAAATTATTCAGAAATATGTGCTTTCTTGGTTTTACAAATTCTCAGTCATTTAAAGACAATGATTTCTCTTTTGCATTTTTATAATAGTGAAATTTAGGTTAAGCTTTCCAATATGTCTTAGTTGCAATAATTTAAATACAAGACCTTTTTGCAATTGCTTGAAATAAGTGTGATTAATCTAGAAAGCATATGCATTATGATCTCATTTTTCAGGCAAAAATCATAGTGTGTATATATATACACTATGATATATATATATATACACACACACATATATGACTAGGACTGTGTTTGAAAAGCTATGGGTCTAGATCTGATAACCTCTGAGAGTAATGGGCAATATGTTATTTATACTCTTTATTTGATTTCTCATACTTTTAAAATAAAAAATGCATCATTCAGAAGTGAGCAAAAATACAGAAAGCAAACTGGGAGGAAAAATCTGATAATAACAGTGAAAAAAAATCAAAACAAACTTTAAAAAATTCTGCTACCAAAAGAAAAGTGAGGGAGGGGCTGCAACGTCAACTAAACACACATCCAAGCACGCATCCAAATCCTCCATCCTTGTTTCTTACCAAATTGCCACTTTTACAAAGTTACAGCTAATTTTTTTTTTTAGGGAATGGATCACAAGCTTTCTTCTTGGCTTCTAATAACACAATAACATTCAAACATGTCAGAGTCTTCAGTGGGACCTGAAGAAGAAGATAACTTAAGATCCCGCAGCAATGAAATCGTGTCCTTACATGTGATGATCCCAAAAGCCTGCTGTACTCCATCTGCCCCTCCCCATGAGGTGTTATGTGCTCCCAGCCTGTCCCTGCCCCTACCCTTGGGAGACCAGGCCCACACTCCAGGCCCACATCAGGAGAGGGGGTGAGGAGGTCAGGGTGGGAGGAGCTCAGTGACAGGAGGGCCGCAGGGGAGATGAGGGAAGGATGGAAGGATGGCATGCACAACTTGTCTTATTGGAAGTACTCTTTTTCTCTTCAAGTGAGATGTGGATTCATTGGGAAGTTGTGGTAGAGAAGAGGTTGAGCCTAGGTTTTAACAAGGGCATTTGGGTGCCTTGAAAAAATCAGATCAAAGGGCAAACAGAAAAAGGAAGATGAAGGGTACTGTTAGAACAATCTGGATGAATCCCTTGGGAGCAATCACATCCAAGACCTCTGATGTCCCTCTCTAGATAAGAGCAAGAATGACCAGGATCTTCAGGAAGATCAGCTTGCCATGTTATTTGTTTTACAAAGGGCAAACTTTGCTGAGCTTGGGATCATCCCAGTGCAGCTGTTCTCAGGGAAGAGTACTCAGTCCGTAGTTCACGCACTGTCCCTGACCAAAGCGTTTAGGAATAGCTTGATTTTGAGGTGCCCGACAGGACTGAGGCATTGACGTGTCCTTGAGATGCCTGACACTTGTCTGGAATGTCCGTCATCCATTCTGTGGGCTGCTGGGCGTGGACTTCAAGCCATCCTTTCCACTGAGCCCCTCCTCAAACTCCTCAGCAGAGCTAGACTCTCTTCTCCATCACTGACAGCATTTGGCACAAATCACCATTTCTTTGTCACATTGCAGTAAAACATTTTCCTTCTTTCCTAGATATTGTGAAATCACTGAGACTCGGCATCTCTCTCCATGCCTTCATGCATCGAAAATACTCTGCATTTTTGTTAAATGAATGAATGATTAAAATCACCTGAAGAATGAAGCAATTCCAGAAGGGAACCATGCCCTTCATTGAAACCTTGAGATCCTGGAAACTGCTATGGGGGGAGTTTCACACCTTTGCAAGCTAATCTGCCTACTGTGCTGAAGCCTTTTGCACCACTTGTGCTCACAGCTTACTGACACTAGATGCTTTGCCCTCTCTGCAGGGCTTAGTAGATATTATATGTTCCAAACTCCATCAAGGCCTGATGTTAAAACACACACACAAACTCCGTGATGAATGCTTCTGGGAATGACTGGTCTACGCTTGCCCAGGTCACAGTGTGAGCTGTGTCCAGCAGCTGGTTCAGGTTGGGGAAGCCAGGGGTTTCTCTGCAAGGGCCCTGGGGGAGGAGGGGGTTCTGGGGCTTTCAGGAGAACACCTTGACTGCTGAAGATCCATCTTGAAATGATTTGATCCTGACTCTTTCAGAATTCTGTCACCATAATCACAGCTCTGGGGCCAATGATTCCACCTGAAACCCTACCAATTTCTGGAACTCATCCACCTGCCCTCCCCCACAAAGTGTCTACATTTACTTCAGTTGAATGTAAAAAATTGATGGATGGAAATCTGCCCCAGCGAGGGGCATCCACTGTGTGACCCTCAAGCACAAGGCCGTGGAGGGGTTGGGGTCTGGGTGTTTCTCAGTCCCCCAGACAACTCCCATCTGAGGGAATCCTTGCGAATGAGAGGCCAGCCCGTGCTGCCTGGAAGTAGATGGAGATTAAAAGGTTGAAAAGAACAGATTCTACACTCTTCTCCGCCTGCACGTAATTTGCTCATCACAACCACAAGAATTTGCCTTTTGTAGAAACGCAGAGACTGGTTTCCTCAACGGAGGGAGAGCCCCACATAGCCCCGGGGAAGAATGTGCAGTGAGGTGTCCTGCGTCATCGTGCAGCAAAGATTTGAGTAACCACCTCCGTGCATTGCCAGTGGCTGCTCATCCTCCCCATCTGGGGCCATCAGGAGTGAAGACCACCCCAGCTGTCCTGTAGACCCGGCAGCCACGTGCTCTCCACCCTCCGTGGCATCTTCAGGCTTCCCACACTGACCTGCTGGCAGGTTTTATGTCTAAAACAGCAGTTAGTCACTAGGCTTCCAGGGTCCTAAGTGGGGACCCGAAGAACAGAAAAAGCAAGAAACGAGGTAGGGAATGCAGCCAGCTATGCCATGAATATGTCCCCTGAAGCTCACATGTGGGAAATGGATCCCCCGTGCAGAGGTGTTGGGAGGAGCACCCATAGGGGGTGTCCAGGTTGCAAGGGCTCTGCCCTCATAAGTGGAGGAATGCTGTCACCTCTGGAGGGGGTTCCTGTAAGGAAAGCATGTGACCCCTCTTACTCTTTTTCACCCTCTCTCTGACCTTCCACTATGGGGTATCACAGTATGAAGCCCCTTGCCAGATGCTGACCCTGTAATCTCAGACCTCCCAGCCTCCAGAACCGTGAGCCAACATGTTGCTGTTCATGGCAAATCTCCTTTTGCCTGTGGAAATCTGAGGTAGCAGCACAACACGGACAAAGTCGGTCCCAGTCCAAGAGCCTGAAGCAGCACCTGGCGGTAGGAAGAGAGACATGCCGGGATCCTAGTGGAAAGGTGCCCCAACAGAGAGGGAGAGAGCGAGGGAATGGGGCACCGGCCAACGGGCACTTCTGGCTTTTCACCCTGACACATGGATGGTAGCATGTGTGCCCTGGTGTGGATTAAAAAGACCCCACAGGAAGTGTGGCCCATGATGGGGGATGATTTCCAGCCTCACGAACCCTTGCTGGGTATGGTGCTGTCCAGGAAGACTCAGATCTGAGTGATGACTACTGCAAGGCCCTGGGTGTCCTTATCTGTGGACGTGATGGAAGCGTCCCTCCTGCAGCCTCATCGCCCCAGTAAGGCGGCAAGAGTGAAATGAAGCTTTGAACCCCAAGGTGGGAGCAGATCGTGACCTTCTAGCCCATGGGCAGCAGGTTTGGTGTCCCTGTCCCCATGCCCATGGTGGCGAGGGGGCACTTCCAGCTTGCAGGCTCTGGGGCTGACCAGCCAGTGTGGCTTCTCCTCCCTTTAGTCTTGTCAGAGCCCAGCTCCGCCCACACTTGCCAAGAGTCCTTGATAGAGAAGGAGCGTCTGTTAGGCTGTGGATTTCGCCATCTGACCCACCTGACAGAGCTGGGTCAGAGAGACCTGGAGCCTCCCTCCATCCTCCTGCTCACCTCTGCGAGGGAGGCAGTGTGCATTTCACCCCTTGGTCTCCAGGAGGACTGTCAGGACAGTGGGAAAGGTGTCAGGGCAGAGACCCTGTACCCATATCTTCAAGATGAAGCTTGAATTTTCCAGAACTGACTTCTCACAAAGCAATTGGCAAGAAGTGCTTCACTCACACAGAGCTAGCCAGGTACCCCTTGGTTGAATATCGTCGAGTGACCATCATGACAGGCACGAGAGCACAACGCAGGTGACAGTCAGGCCCCTGGAACCTGCATTCCGGGCCAGTGTCGAGGGCCTGCCCTCCAGCTGAGCTCCATGGCTGGAGGGACTCAGGGTCCAGGGTGTGAATGTTCTAGAACATACTTGCACACTTGTGTTCTTTTCTAGGTGTGTTTCTGAAGTCAAAAGCAGAACTTAAGAACCATACCGGGCCAGTACTGAGAGAGGTCTCTGCCTGCCTGCCCAGTGCACCACCCTTTCCTCATGCACACCAGGAAAGCGAGGTCCTGAGGGAGGCAGGATGGGGCTCCTGATGCCCAGGCCTGGCTGGTCCATGCATACTGGCCCTGAGGACGTCCAGGCTCTGGGTCATAGGAGGCACTCTCTCCCTGCAGCTGCTGGCTAGGTAGGCCAGGCTCATGTAGAAAGTATTTTCAACTGGTAGAGTATCTAAAGCTGCTGGGCAAACTGGTCTGGACACAGCAGTGATTTTACTATCTGAGAACTGACAGTAGACATCCTCACACTGTGTTCTCTGAGCTCCTCCTGACTGTGGAGTTCGGCTGTGGGACAAGTCCTCATAGCTGGCACGGGATACAGCCTCTGTCTCCTGTGTCGTGTCCTTATTCCTGTCATTATGGTCGCTCAGTGTTATTCAAATGATGTTCCTGGCTAGATCTGTGTGCGTGTGAAGCGTCTCCTGCTTATTGTTCTGTGAGAAGTCAGTGTTGGCTGTAGGAATTCATGGATGCAGCTGGCCAGTGTGGGTGTTTGTTTTGCATATTTGTAAAGGAACACCTGAGGCTGTGTCACTCGTAAAGAACACAGGTTTGTTCGGCTAATAGTTCTGCGTGGTGCCAGCATCCACGGGATCCTGGGGTGGCCCTGGAAAGCTTTAATTTGTGGATGCAAGGGGAGCTGGCATGTCACATGGCAAGAGTGGAAGCAGGAGAGGGAGGAGGAGGTACCAGGCTCTTAAACGACCAGCTCTCACATGAACTGACAGAGCCAGAACCTGCTTATGACCATAGGGATGGCGCCCAGCCATTCACGAGGGATCCACCATAACCAATCACCTCCACCTGGCCCACCCCCAATGCTGGGGACTACACCGTAGCCTGAGATTCAAGGGGCAACCATTCAAACCATATCAGTGGGAATTTCAATGGTCCCCAGATCTGTACCTCAACTATCAAGCCAGCACATGATTGGGAAGCCACCCCCCGATCTGAACAGTAAAAGACTCGCCTACACTCCAACCCCTAGCTCGTGCCCCTTGGCACGGCGCTTGCCCGGTCAGGCTGTAACTAAAAAGCATGTTGTGTTTTCCTGCATCTTTGGACCGTGAAGATTGTCCACAATGCTGAGGAAGTGGCCTGCATGGGCATAAGACACGATGTCTCCCACAGCGCGGGGTGAGTGCAAAGGCTCTTACTGTGGCGCTTCCTGGTGCTGGCTTTGCCCTCCTCCTTGGTGACGCCCAGGCAGCCCATCAGCTCCTGGACGGAGAGGGATTTGTCATCATTCACGTCACAGTATTCCACGAACTTCTTCACACACTTCTTGGGCTTTGATTTCTTCCGGAGGAACCTCTTGAAGGGCTTGATTTCCTTTTTGCCAATGTCCCCACTGGAGTTTTTGTCAAGTAGCTTGAAGTACCAGTGCACCACCCTTTCCTCCAGGGTGTGGCTGGGATCGGGCTCCGAGAGCCTGCAAGGAACAAAGCGTCGTCAGGACACAGACACCACAGGCGGTCCCTTCCTGCCACTGTCCTATCTCATAAGCTTGAATGTCACTCTGACGGTCCTGGTGTCTAAGCCTGCAACAGAAAAGATTCTTTGAAATAAATAGATGAATTGTTGCCAGTTCAGGGGGAAATACCCAATTCATGAAACCTCGTAACAGTGAAATCCTGGGGGCATGCCTGTCTGAGTGTGTCCACAGAAGGTGGAGGCCAGGGTCAGAAAACCTACCCATGGAAGTTGTGCCAGCCTCAAGGCCCTGACCCAGGAGAGCATTGTCCCTGAGGATGACATTTCTAGGGTTCCAAAAAATCATACTGTGAACACTGTGAATGTCACAGATCACTGATGCCCTGGAAAATGGTTAAGATGGCAAATTGATGTGTTATATATGGTACTGCAATAAACAAATCACTTTTTGAGAACTTTAAGTTAAATATTTTCATTCAAAGCCTTTACAATCCAGTCTATAACTCAAACACGCAATTCCACAGCACCGAACTGTCTAATGTAGGTACCCTCCTCTCTCCATCCTTCCTCCCTGCCCCACATCCACAGGGACAGGGCTACCACCCACGGAGGCTCTAGGGATCATGGTTAAGGGCCTCCAGCTGCTGTGACAACATCCTCAGTGAGTTAGTCATGTTCCAAGAAATATCAGCCAAGCAATGCCAGGTGTTGCAAGGTCATTTTTTGGGCTCTACTGTGTTCACATAAGCTGACAAGGTCTCACACATCTAATGGTTGAACTTCCCAGATTCCCTCAAATTCTGGTCCCCCTGCCCCAGTCCCATGATAGACACAGCGCACCTGCCCGATGGGGAGGAAGGATCGGAGACAGCATGGACCATGTCTGTTGAGAGCGCATCTAGAACACTTGTCAGAAACTCATGCTTCTTGGCACCAGGACAACCTAAGGGAAAAAACACACACACACACACATGTTTTCATGACTCTTAGAACTCAAGAAGCATAACAGAGTTTTCTCTAAAATAGAAAATGAGGTTGTGTTAGTATTCGGAAATCAGTAAGTGGGGTGACCCTGCTGTTAAGCAATGAATCGGAACACAGGCAAACACGTGGCTGTGTCCATGTGATCTGGAGCATGGTCACTGCTGACTGAGATACATGACATGTTGAATTACTACATGAGACAAAGCTTCACAGGCATTCATAGCTCATGGATCTTCCAAATGGCACCCAGGGGAACAGACCTCCCTCCCCCAGTGCTGCAGGCAAAGCAGCCATACTTGGAACAATAAGAACCATGCTGATATCACGCTGAGAAGACAAAGGCAGGTGACACAGGTGAGCCGGAGTCTGGGGATGGCCACTAACCACCACCATGGAGTCCCTTCCCAGAGCCATGTTCATCTGGAGACCAAAGGGAGGCAGGGAGGGAGCCCTGAGTGCCTGTCTCTTTGGAAGCAGCTGTACACCAGAGTCCCAACACACCCCAGCAGGATGGAGCATAGGGACTGCAAAGCCAGGAGTTGACTGGGCGTGGCCTCTCAGGGCTCAGGAGTGACCCCACCATTCAGTCTATCTAAACCTAACTTTCTGCAACGCACCTCTCCATCCAGATGTCATTTCATGGTCAGCCTCCACCTCTTCTTTCCCTTTGACCGCTCTGGAATTCTCTAAACTCAATACCTGAGGCCTTCATCCCACACCAAACTCAGGGTGACTCATACAAGGAGCATCCACTTGCTCTGGGGTCCTGCCTTCACTGCGCCTACTGTTATAGTCATGCCCGGACTCGAATCAGACTCTCCTCTGCGGCATAGGTGGCATGAACAACAAGGCTCCTGGCTGTGGGCGCCTTCCTTTCACGGAGAAGTCTCTCAAGAGGTGTTGGCTGGGGAAACACGCATATGCAGGCACTCATGGGACTGGCCCTTGCTTCACCAATGAATGCAAGTCAATGGAACGCAGGGACAGCCACAGGCAGGGAGCCGGGAACCAGGGGACGTGTGACATTCGTGATTCAAGCTTGGGGATTCACTGAGGGCTGATGTCAGAGGGACTTGTTTCCTCTTTTAGTCTATTCATGCACAATTATTCAAGGGACAGGTGACAGATTTAACTCTTCCTCATTTACATTTTGTTCAACTATTTTTTTCCCCTAAAGCTCCTGGAATACTTGAGAGAAAGAAGAGGAAAAAGCTGAGAAGAAAATAGAGAAGAGAAACTGCGAGACATCAGGCCTAGAGGGATGGCTGTCCTTGCGAGTCCAGGTGTCCCTTGTGGCTGGGAGGGCTGCCTCCTCCTTGGAACAGGCTCCCTCAGACTCTGCTGCAGCTGAGCACAGGCTACGGAGATGCCTGAGTGTCTGCCACTGAGGCGTGAGCATGTCTGCCTGGGCGGTCCCTACTACAGCAGAGAGGAGGTCTGTCCTGCACTGTTGGTGACAGCTGACCTCTGCCAAATATGGACTAGGTATTTACTAAGTTCCAGGGAGCTCCTGGAACATCCTAAATTCAGGGCACTCTGGTCTCTGGAGTCCACCTGGGAAGTAGAGGATGGGGATCTGTGAAGCCCACGGCTGACGGGTGTGTCAAGTGGGAGGACAGGCCCTCTTGGTGGGAGAAATGCTAGAACATCACCAGAAACGGGCCCTGATGTGTGGAGAAATGTGGCATCCCGTGACTCCCTGGATCCCAGGTGGCAGTTCCTGCGTACATGGCGGTCACCTGCGACGGCGGCCAAGTCATGAGGAGACCAGCACGTTGATACGATTAAGCACGCTCTGGTTTTCATAAGTTTCCTTTTGGCACTTGAGTTTTTCATTATTTTTATTCAAGTGCATGTTAGTTGCCTATAGCAGAATCCGTTGACGCCTGTTTCCACTTCATTAATCCCACGTATCAGAAAACAGATGTGAGCCTTCCTGGGGTTGGGGAATTTGAGCGTGAAGACGCCCGCGAGCCCCGTCTGCACAAACTGAAAAGTAGATTTTCATCTGTAGGAAAAGCCCACAGACAAGGGGCGAGCTCTGCTTTCCAGAAAAAAGTTGTGTATCTCTTCAGATAGTCCCTGGGAAAGAAACAGACCGGAAATTCTAGGGGCCACAGAAGCCAGAGGCTCCAGAAGCCACCAGGTCCCTGCTTGCCCATGGCCCCCGACGGGTCTCCCGGTCAACAGAGACCAAGCTCCTGGCAGCAGGACCAGAAAACCCACATGGGTCTGAGATGGTCTCCATTGCACATACAGTGACATGTGGGCAGGAGCTCCACGGGGTTGCCTGTGCAGGAGGACGTGTCCCAGGTGAGGTGGCGGCGCCAGGCACAGGTGCTAGGCAGGACATGGTGACCTCGGGCACTGGTCTGCTGAGGTTGTTCTCGAACTTCTAGCACCCGCTGGCCTCCCAAGATTCTGAGGGGGTGTGGACTAGATGAGGAACAAGCCCATTGTGTGGGAAAAGGCTAAGTGCGTTGGATAACCCTCAGCACTGCCAGTTGCAGGACAGAATTACGCGTGCACTCGGCGTGGTGGTGATGACTTTCACGGGGTCTACCCATATGGCTTTTGGCTGTTAATTTAATCACATTCCCCCAAATGAGGTAAAGCAGCCCAGTATTTTAAGTTAGAGAACAATATATATTCATTATGAAACACGAGACTAACAGCATATAAAAGTTGAAGGACTCTTGAGGGCAGAAAGAAGAATTTAACCCCAAAAGTGCAGCCTGCTTCTAAAACATAAAATACCAAGGCAACTCTGCTCCGGTGTTTTTGTGATCGTGATATAAATGACATACTGCGAAGTGCACAGACCTTCCTGCTGAGGGAGGCATTTCACGGGGAGGGTGACTGAGTCCCAGGAGACAGGACTCTTCATTTTCACTTAAGAAGACAATGAACTTCATTGGATACAGGCTCAGAAAGGCAGAGTGCCAACATTTTCATGTCTCCCGAGTCCCCTGCAAGGTGGTTCAGTCTCCTGCTCCAGGGATGTGGCTTTGAGCATGACCTGGACAATCAGATCCCATGGCCAGTGGGGCACGCTGATCATGGTCTTCCTCTTGCCCCCACACGTTCCCTGAGAGCCTGGAGAAGGGGCTGGGAGCCAGTGGTGAGATCAATCCATGCCTAAGCTTGGGGAGCACACCTTGGAATGCCCCAGTTCCTGGGTTGTCTTACGGGACGGTCGAGATGCTGTTTCCCCAGACTTTAAATCCTGAGGAGCATGGCTATGAATTGGAAATAGAATGAGTCCTCTCCTAATGAGCTGACAAGACAACCAGGGGCAGGGGCAGCATTTGCAGGGATTGTTTATTTATTAGGGTGGGGATTCTGGGGAAACAGCCCATGCCTTGGAAGGCCAGGGAGGGAAGGGGACGTTTTGTTTTGCAGGTCACCCGTACATAAGAGTGGAAGTGTCAAAATCAGAGGCATCTAGCTAAGCTCTGTATACATGTCTTATCTTAGTTTCTGTTGCTTTATCAATAAATATTCTCAAGATGACTTGCTTCTTCCTGAGGGGGACATGAGGCACCTCATCACAATCACCCCAGAACCTTAAATAATGCTTGTTACTGCTGATGGGGATTATAGTTCAAAGTTATTTCTGAGGGGAAAATGCAAAATTAAAAGAAATCATTAAAACAAAACTAAAGTAATACATTGCTTTAGAGTGAGTATCTGCTAGCTGAGAAATATCAGAATCACTGTGGAATGACATTCCATCACCATGAAACCTACAGGTCTGGCAAATGTACACAAGAAACAGCACAGCTTGGGATGAAAGAGAAGCTGCCCTAAACAGCCGGGCTTTGCCCGTTTATCACTGAGACTTCAGCTTCCCAGGACAGCTCTGTCAGGCATGGTGATGATGGAGAGAACTCTGTCCTCTGCAGGGGGGCAGCTCCTGCACCCATGCTTCTCAAGATCGTGGACCCCAATGACATCCTTTGCCCTGAGGACTTTTGTGGGGTGTGGCTCACTTGAGGGTAGCTACCCCAGAGCCGGGACACCAGGAGCAGTGGGTGGGTCCTGCCAGCATATTCACCATCTGCGCTTTCAGCCCAGCTGTCTACATGGTGGACTCGGATGGTGTCCACACATACTGTGCTGTTAAAGACTGGTGTCAAAACTGCAAGCTCAGTGATGTCAGAGGTCACTGCTTACTTGGGGACAGTTCTACCTACAAGCACATTCTCCAGCTGAATCTGAGTCCCTGGATGTCTTGGGTCAACAGGGGTGCACACAAAGGCAGCCCCTCCCAACACACGCCTGGGGTGGAGGAGCCGCGCCCTCCTGATGGTACATGTCTACTCTGTAGGCCACGGGAAGATGGGAAAGGACCATGGAAGCCCAGCCTGAGACCACCATGAGTGGTCCAGGGAAAGGGATCCTGAGAAGAGGTCATGGGGGCTGTGGCTTGCATTAAACAGTTTCAGGGAATGTCGGAGGTAGAAGGCCTAGGACCCTGAGGGTTTGGTTATGGCCAGAGGAGAGCTGTATCTCATGGACATGACAAGTACACAGAGACACCTTGAGCAGAACACGACTTTGATGCAACCCCAGCCCGGGCTCATAAAACAACTCCCACCATCCACATTTGCAGCCACGGAAAGGACTGCAAGATGATACGTCCAAAGTATCCCCCATTTTCCATTGAACGTTAATGTCTGTCATGACATCTAACACATGGCTTTCTACTTTTAACTTTCTATGCACTTTAGACATAAGAAAAAAAATGATAGATTTTGGGAGGTTTCTTTAGGCATTTTTACTTTAAGATTCATAAGATGCAGATGGTTTATAAAAGGTATCCAAAAGGTATCTCTAAGATCCCTCTCTCTGTGGGAATCTGATGAGTGTGTCATCTTCAGGGAACTCTATTCAGTAAATGGTGTTGGGAAAACTGGCTGGCCACATGCATAAGATGAAACTAGACTCCTACC